GGGACAAAGGCTGGAATGTCTTTCGCCGTCCGGACACGCCCCCGCATCGGGCTGGATGGCTCAGTTGGTTGCGAACGAGGCGAGGACGCTGAGTTGGCAGCGCCGGGTTCTGTTCCCGGCGCTGGCAGCGGTAGGCGTGTATCCTTCTATGTAGCAGCCCAACAAGCCATGATCATAGCCTTTAAGGGAGTGACCAACTCGGATGCCCGTAGGAATCCGAAATAGCAAAGGGGCAGCCGCCTCGATGCGAGCATCGGAGCAAACATCCGCAAATCAAATGATTATTTTCATATTTTTTTTTACATCGGCATTTTAAAATTAAAAAACATATCAAATCAAGCAATAGAAATTGCTATTGTTTGCAAATATATTCTCCCAAGATCCACACACCGGACTCCGAAACGCACGAGAAACGTTGTAAACGCTCGAGGCCTACCGTTACAGAAACTCTCTGGAAACTCTCTGGAAACTAGTTAAAAACTCGATGCTCACCGACAGAAACTCTATGGAAACTGCTTGAAAACTCGATGCCCACCGTTACAGAAACTGCCTGAAAACTCTCTCAAAACTCAAAGCAGCACGTTTCCCCACAGTTTTCGACCCTTCAGAAAGAGCGTGTATAAACTGCATGTAGGACGTTTTTCAGAAACGTTCCGAAAACTAATGTGTAACTCGCATTGAGATGTTTCTGAAAACAGTCTTAGAACTCTCTGCTTTCGCCAGGGAAGCACTTCCTCCGTGACAAGAACACACTTTGTACCTCAATTGTAATACCAATTAAAGTGACCGATTTTGAACACTAGAATTTCCGAAAGAAACCTGATAAATTGACAAAGGTCATAATACAACTTTTAACAAACTGTCGTACGCAAAATGACAAATAAGACTCATTATTTATCAATTAAGAACTATACGCGACAGACTACAGTCTTATATTATCGTACAATAAGGAAATTCATTAAAAGGGCAGTCCTACCAGCGCGGGCACACCTCTGGCTGGGGCGAGAGAGGGAGAAACCTCCGAACTAAAAGTGGCGGGGACCGAGGACGGTTCACAACTCTGTGAGGGGAGTACTGTTTGATCATTGGATAAGACATTACAATACACTGTCGCTGTCGTGTTTTTACTTACAGTTGGTCGAATAGCAGTTAGGCGTAATACAGCATCAGCTACTGGTTGAAAGTTTTCCAATCCATTTCCCTCGTTTAAGGGCTGAAAGAAGAGTATAAAGAGATGACCACTAAAGTTCAGTGACCAACAATAATCGTGTTAAATTTTGACGTAGCGTATATCACACTTACTAGAAGAGATGTGTTGCCCAATGCCAAAGCCAAGTTTGCTATTTTCTTGTAGCTTTGGAGTTCAATCGCTAGTGAGTTTGGGATATCATTATGTGACACCTGGAAAGAATGTAACGATAAAGAGTCAATGCTGCCAGTCCCCAAAACCTACACTGCTCAAAGGTTACTTACACTGCTGCTTCCTGCGACCAAAGCAAGGAGAACCCCCATCCAGAGCATTTTTGCAGATACAACCTCAAGCACTTCTAGCATATTCTTTAAAGCTGACCACATTAAAAGCGATTAAAGATGTTTCAAAGTGAGAGAATGGGCGGGTAAATATTTTTCTTGAGTTATTTTTCAAGACCAATAAAAACACAACATTTCTATGTTGAATGGGGAAGAATCAGGACAGCTTTTCTGAGCCTTGTGAACCACGCGCGATAACAGGTGACGATGCAATGTGCGACGCTTTCCTGACTCGGTACATTGATGAGGCGACGGTTGGTGTGTACCCAGCCAACCAATTATCTAAAAGAACGATGTAATTTGCAATTACTTCCATATCTTTGAGAGATGGTTTGAGCACCGTTTCTCTTGAAGTACGCTTGTCATAGTCGCAGACCTGATGAAACACGTTTTTAACGTGACTATAATACAAGTATAGTCCTCACGTCACCATGTTACATTCAGGGATCTCGGTCTTTCATTATTGTTCTCGATTTGCTCAAGAGCATTGCACTTACTTTGAGATATGCACAGCACATGTAACGAGTACAAAGTTCGAGAAGTCTCTCCCTGCAGCGCATGCCTCTGCACCCAAAACTTCTCAAGTGCATGTGTCCTTGATTCAAGTGATATAAACTAGAAAAATCAAGGATCAAGCAAAATTGCACTTGGTACAAGAATTAGGCTTTTTGTGTGTGCAGCCATTTTTTTTGTAAAGAGCCGTGCCCATTACGTGACTTGGGATACAAATGTTCTGGGATTCCATAAGGATCATAGAAAGGACTATCATTGATATTTGAGGCCTTTGGTGCGAATATTGTGGGGTCAAAGCAAATCCTTCCAAATATATCTTACATTTATTATTTAATAGTGTCATTTTCCAATTTGTTTTCCAGTGTTTCCTGGGATAGTTGTTGCCAAGAGAAGAGAGACGGACCTCTGAACGAGTTTAGTATATAAGCACACCCAAAACATGTATCTTCTTGGTGACGATGCTCTCACACATCGTGCTGATCCAACAATGTAGAAGGCATTAAGAACGAAGGTTCAAAAGCATCTGTAGAATACTGAACCATGATTTTAAAGCTGTCAGGCAGGCGCTCCTGTCCACTCTACCAAAGCCGTG